CATAAAACAATCGAAGACGGTTAATAAAATTGTTTGAGAACGATGATACACATACCAGGTATGTAAATATGAAACCGGAATTTTTGTATAGAAAATACACGCTTATTGTATGAAAATGATAAAAAATATTTTATTCGAAGTATGTCCATCGCTAGCTATACATTTTTCCCACCTGTCTGACAATTTGTGGATGCCACGCCAAAAAAAACTGTTGCTCTTTTGAGGCAAACCAGTCATCGAGCCATTTTCATACATTTTCGTAAGAAGTGAAGCGCTGCTTAGCAAGTGCGTGTCTCATCGATGCAAATAAATAGTAATCGGACGGAGCCAAGTCTGGTGAGTAAGCCGCATGCGAAAGTATTTCCCAACTAAACGCCTCAATCGTTTCCTTGACCAGTTTTGTTGTGTGTGATGGTGCATTATCATAAAGCAAAATCACTTTATGTTGCTTTTTTTTATATTCTGGTCATTTTTCATGCAAAGCATGATTCAAATCGATCATTTGTTGTCGGTAGCGTTCAGTATTAACGGTTTGGCCAGGTTTTAGCAGCTCATAATAGATCACACCCTTCTGATCCCACCAAACACAGAGCATTGTCTTCCGTCCATAGCGATTTGGCCTTGCAGTCGATGTCGATGGTTCGCCTGGAGTTACCCATGATCTTTTACGCTTAGGATTCTCAAAATATATCCACTTTTCATCGCCAGTCACAATTCGATGGAGAAATGACTTTCTTTTGTACCTGGCGAGCAGCATTTCGCAAGTGGTTTTTCGGTTTTCCTGCTGTCTTTCATTCAGTACATGTGGAATCCATTTTCCCATCTTCTGGATCTCTCTCATGGCTTTCAAACGTATGGAGACGGCTTCCCGTGTCACATTTAATTGATCCGCGAGTTGTTGTTGCGTTTGAGTGTCATCCTCATCCAACAATGCTTGCAATTCGCTGTCTTCAAACTTTTTCGGTGGTCTTCCACGTTCTTCGTTTCTCACGTCAAAATCGCCACTTTTGAATTTTTTAAACCACTCAAAGCACTGTGATTTACCAAGAGCATGCTCACCGTAAGCTTCGACAAGCATTCGATGCGATTCTGCAGCAGTTTTCTTCAAATGGTAACAGAAAATCAATGCTGTCCGCAAATCGTAGTTTCCAGGCACAAAATTCGACATGTTCAACGCTATTACAAACTATGCTGTTGTATGAAACTTGTATTGTTGTGAGTTGAAAATCTTTGTCAGAGATGTCAACAAGGAAATGGCGCCAATGACGCGGTTTGACGGTAACTACATTGACAGCTAGGGCCATCTATGGGCAAATTCCGGTTTCATATTTACAGACCTGGTATAGAGCAGCGATTGTATATGTGAGCAATTATATGTATAAACAGTTATGCACGAAAAAAGCAATTCTGTTTGTGTGAATTTTGTCTGGCAAAAATAGGGAAAACTCAGATGAAAAACTCAGTTGTAGAAACAGAAAGATGTTCTGTAAGAGATGTCTTCCAATCAGTTTTCAATTATTGCTACCAGGTTTTAATATAGTTGAATATTCAAACAAACGTTTTCGGTTGCTGTAGCAGAGATATTATTTCATCGAATTTTCACCTGGTCCATATATAATTGCGCGAATTGGGATTTCTTTTCCGCGTGAATGTGGAATTATTTTAATATTCGCGGTTTTGAGATAAGAGTTTCTTGCGTTTGTTTAATTAGCCTTGTTTAATTATCAACATTCTGACGATTACATGTGCGTGACAGAATATACTGCACAAAACTGCATAAAATTTTCCGAAAGAAAGAACAACATTAAAGACACACAAAAAATGCGAGATTATGTCATTAGCGTGTAGAGATCAATTATTAATTGATAATAATTACAATGTTTAAAAATTACATCTGTTAATTACACATCGAAGTGTCCAATTCGCTGATACTCGCTGATAAAGCCAAACAATTCGGCGGCAATTAAGACGTTCGCCACACTGAGAGAAATTATCCGATAAAAAATTAGCAATCGAATATTTCCGGTCAAAATATCGGTGAATTTTATATCCGATCAGGATATACGATTAAATTTAATCAGTTACTTTCGATCATAATAGTATTTCATCATATAAACCGATCAAAAAATTATGAACCGATATTTCTCATTGGTTGTTTCCTGATCGGCTACAAAAATTTATCGGTATTTTGATCGGAAATATCCATTTATTAATTTCGTAGAATTTTTTTTATCAAATAATTTTTTACTTAATTATATAAAACAAACTTAGTTTGTTTATAGGAACAGAAAGAAAATTCATCGTTGTCATAGTTGAAGAACGATGATTGAGTAAAAAATGATAAAAAAAGGAGAAAAGGAATAATATCGATGAAATAATATCTCTGTTACAGCAACCGAAAACGTCTGAATATTTAACTATATTAAAACTCGATAGCAATAACTGGAAACTAAAATTGATTAGAAGACGTCTTTTACAGGAGATCTTTCTGTTTCTACAACTGAGTTTTTCATCTGAGTTTTCTCTATTCTTGCCAGAAGAAAAAAGTGAAATGTAACGTCGAAGTGTGTGCGAAATGTGTCATCACGTTTGATAAGGCAGCTCTCTTTGAAGATCGGCGGTTCAACAAGACTCCGCTCGATTCAATGTTGTCTATTTGTCGAATAAATGCCGAATACATTCCGGTATCTCGTGACAATCGAGTCACTTAATTATCACCGTCATGCGCGCGTAAATAATCTGTAGGCAGGCAGGTGGGACACAGTTGACGAACGCCAAGAAACGTTGCAGTAGTATCGCGGTGTGGCTGTATTGTCGCACGGTCGCTCGCCGGGCTTGTCTCTACGCGAGAAGAGGAAACGCTAACAGTCGAACAGGTAAGCTCGACACAAAAGGACATGCGATTTCGACTGAATCGTCGAAATCAGCGAAGAACACGATATCAAATGATCGCGTTAAATTACACTAAGGAAACTATTCCATAGTTATCGCAACTAAAGCTTCACTGCGAAATTTCGTCAATCATGCGACAGTTCGTCAAACTGTATACACATCACAATTCTGCATACGAAACTAGTATAGCAGACACCTGTATAGCTATTATTGCCATGTTTCCCTCTGAATGTACTTAACACGTTGACTGCCAACTACCAGATAAATCGTACTCGGCTTCTTGGCTAGGGCGCTGACTACGATTTATCTCGTAGTTTTTTCATGGTCTACCCTTATAGAAATATCATACTAAGAATCATTGATAATTACTTATTTTCAGTATTAAAAATACTGGATAATAAGTAATTATCAATGATTCTTAGTATGATATTTCTATAAGGGTATCCATATGATTAAATCAAATTGGCTTCTGAGATCGGAATCCTGAAAATTATCGTGGCAGTCAACGTGTTAATGACGTTTCCTCTCGCGAAATTTATGCCAAAATCAGTCTCGGTGTGTGACGAAACAAACGTTTCATCGGGTATTATCGCTGCACACGCATGCCAGATCCATTATCACGTGCGTCTACAATCTACCGAGTCAACGATATTTATCCAGTGCGATCATTAATTTGTCTCCTCAAGATACAGCCACTTGAGCGACTGAAATGCACGCTTGGTTAAGTGCATAAAATAATAGAATATTTGAATAGTGCATAAAAAACGTTTCAGGATCCAGCATTCGCTGGATCAAATATAGAAGACGCAAGGTCACGCGAATTTTCGATAAGACATACCCCAGATAAGCGCGAACGAGCCTGTGTTTATCAGCTGGACCACAAATGCGGTTGTGCATTTTTTTCTTGCACCCCGTATCGCCGCGCGGTAGATCGAATATCTCAGTGGATGTGGACGGGACGAGGGAAATCCTTATCGCGAATTATGCACACTTGCATAATATCGCGGATATTACGGCCGCGTCTTCGTCGTCTACTCCGCGTACTCGCACACCTTCGAGTTATTTCCTATTTTATTTCTATGTAAATTTTTAATGTAATGTCTTATCGAAAATTCGCGTGATCTTGCGTGTTCTATGTTTGATCTAGCGAATGCAAACATTTTTTATGCACTATTCAAATATTCTATTATTTCTATGTAAATTCTAAAAAAATTCGAAAAATTCTCAGTTACACATTAACACTTTTAGTGCCAACCAAAAATAAATGTACCTAAGCGTAAAATACCGGATCAAATTGATGTAGTTTGATAGAGTTTGAGAAAAATTTCTGAAAAGAAATTCAACTATTTATAACGTCTTATAAAATTAGTTTTGAGACAATTTTCTCGCGACGCGGATAGTCCGAAAGAAATTCAACTATTTATAACGTCTTATAAAATTAGTTTTGAGACAATTTTCTCGCGACGCGGATAGTCCGGCACTTTTCGCAAGTGTTGCTAACAATGATATATCGTTGTTCGGCACTATAAGAGTTAAAAAGAGAGAATTTAGTTAGATATCCAATCCTTTAATCTAAAATTAATTTTAATTTTAATTAAATTTAATTAATTTAAATTCTAGAAACTCTCATTAAAATTCTAGAAATCGAAATTCTCGACTCGCATTTTGCGACTTTGATCTCGTTATTTGTGTTGTCGTTACATGAAAAAATACCAAATACAAAATATTGCAGATATTCCGAAGAATTCCATTTAATTTAATTATAGATTTTCTAATGGTCTGATCTCGAGCAGGTAGCGTGGAATAATTCAATCGTGAAGAGAGTATCGACGAATTCATCGGCGCAGTTGAGCGTTCGTTCACCCGACGACAACGCGAATTTAAAAAAAGAATCAATCATCATTTACGGATCGTAATCAAAGTTTAACCGGTCACGTACGACGCGCGATTTCCTCCTCTGCTATGCATTTATCACCGTTCCCGATTCTGATTGCGAAATTCCTCGGCGTATCGCATTGTATTGTGTTCTTATACTTGTTTCTCGCAGTTCGAATTTCGTTGACGTCGATTATTTATCTTCGATATATTCTTTGCTTAAGCGCTTGCTGCCGAAGGAGGGAAAGAGAGCGCGAACAGCCGATAAGAGAATGAACGGGTCACGTATCGCCTGTATTATATTTGCATTATGCATCATCTGTTTATCAACAACCTTGAGCGTGCCGGATCTGAAATTTGTACACGTTGTAAGTACATGACACCGCGCATTCTGCGGGCACGTTTTGTGTGAATGTAACGGAAAACGGAAACAGGGATGACGTGTGGTCGCAGTTGTTCGCGCACAAACTGTACGCGCCGAGAGAGGACCACGCGGAAAAGGAGGGCTTGCCGCGAGTCTTATCGTACGAGTACTTCACTTCCGCCAGGATGGACATGCCGAACGTATGTATTAATATTGACGTTAATTTATTGATTCAATACACTGCTCAATCCAATTGAGCGTGAGTACGAACGGTTAATCAGGGATTGATGATAAACTTCTTCCCCCAGCGTGAACTCGTGAGAATTGTCTACAAAAAGAAAATAGTAGATATTAATGTAATTAACTAGCTTTTTATACTTCGTACATGCTATTTATACTTTATTCTTAGGAATATTTATTATTTTTAGAAACTTAAATATATTATGTGCTATAAAAAAAATTTACTATATTTTTAATAAAATTTATTGCGTTCTCTTCAGCAAGAATAGATTTTATAGTCTATTAACAGTCTATGTTTGAATTACTAAACCCACATAAAATTGGAAAGTATTAGTGAAAAAAATATTCTCTCCATGTAACTTGAAAATTAGAATGTTTAAAAAAAAATTAAAGAAAATGTTCTAACTTTAAGGAAATTTTGTAATTTGAAAGCATTTTCGCTTTTCACGAATTCACAATAGAAAGATTCAATCAATCAAGATCAATTTTCTGAAGTTATTCGACGTTGACTTGATGTTGATTTCACATATTAATGCTTAATCACGAGGAAACTCGTGTTTCTCCTCATTAGTCGGAAATTAGCCTTTCCACGAGCTGTCTCGCGCTTCGACAACGATCAAAGCAAAGGATCGAGACAATCTTAAAGACAATCAGTCAACAATGTGTTTACATATTTGTCTAAAAATCGAACGTGTACTGATTTCTTCAAATAGAAATATGTTGACAACAAAGATATAAATACTAAGTTCTATTTATCATATTGTAAGCGTCGCGATTGCGTAGGCTGCGAGTCTCAACATGTACAACCTGGGGGTGCACTTGCGCAAGGTCTATGGCGAATTTCTTGGCGACAAACTGCAACTTTACAGACCGACGAGGATGAGGACGACGGAGTACGCCTTATCGATGTTATCGGCGCAGCTCGTTAACGCTGGTCTGTGGCCACCCGTGGAAGAGGAAATGTGGATAGCGGGCGTCAACTGGCAGCCAATGCCGACTGGTTAGTCAATAAATGCAATCAGGTTCTTCCTCGACCCTCGAATGGAAGAAGTTTTCTGAATCGATCATCGTAATATACGTGTAATCTAAAGATCTCCTATTTTTCTCTTTTTTGATATGATTTACAAGCATAATAGTTGGCAATAGATAATTGAAGGCTGATCTTTCAAATGGAAAGCTTCTTCTTTCATCGAATATACACTTAATTAATCTACAATTTCAGTTTTATGACTTCAATTTTCAAATCTCCAATTCTTCTCAAGTCTCAATTATTCAGTCTCCAATTTTATTTATGCAATCTACAATAAAAAATAGTTCTAATACTAATCGGAAACTTTCGAAGAAATCGACAATAAGGTTGACATTCAGTCCTTGCGAAATAATTATGGTCTGTAATAAGCTCAAGACTATGTTTTCGTATATAATAATGGCCAGCTTTCTCGTTACAGATTACGTAGAGTTGAAGGAGGACATATTGATGTTGGGCTCACTGTGCCCGAATTTCATCTCACGGATAAACGAAGTGTTGGAAACAGCCGAGACTCGAGAAATGATATCGCAGTATCAGCCTTTGTTTGATTATCTTTCTTATTACACTGAGAAGAACATCAGCACGCCATCGGACGTAGCCCTCTTATACTCTAGTCTGGAAACGATGGTGAGTCTCAAGGCAAAGGTCAAGATGGCGAAGTCACAAGGGCAAATTCAAGTGAACGATTATATATTTGAAAAATCTCTTGTACCTTTTAAGTTCCTTGCAAATGTCCGATTCAGGCTGATCAAGGTGAGATGTTGCCCCATTGGGCGAACGACGTGTTTCCCCACGGTACGATGTACAACGTTACCCTGTTGGAGTACGATCTCCTCTCGGCGACTCCTCTTCAGAGGCAGCTGAACGGCGGGACCCTCTTAGCGGAGATCGTCGGCAACTCGCTGAAGTACACGATGGGCGAAACGCCAGAGGGTCGTAAAATGATGTTGTATAGTGGCGATGGACGAAATATCGCCGGAGTACTGAAAATTCTAGACCTCTGGTCGCCTCACATTCCTAATGAAGCGGCCGCATTAATCTTCGAATTATATTATGATAACGATACAGACACGCATGGAGTCAAGGTAAAGTATTATCTTATCACTGCTCTGAGTATACACTGAGAAAAAAATTTACTAAATTTCAAAAAACGTTTTTATTTGGATACAATTGCAAACATATTTATTTCAATTAAGCAATTATTTTATAAAATTAGTAAAGGAGTTTAATAAAGGAGTTTTAAATATAAATTTCTCTCTTTGATTTTAGAAAATAATTACTTAATTTAAACAAATATATTCACAGTTGTATCCAAAAAGACGTTTTTAGTAAATTTTTTCTCAGTGTAGGAAAAAATACTTTGGAATGTGTTACCTTGCTTTAAAAAAATCTGAGATAGAGTTATACATAAAAAATCAATATAAGTAAATTGTTTTTCTCATTCATAAATATCAAATCTATTATCTGATATACTGAGAAAATTTCTTACATAAATTTATCATAATCTATCGTTTCAATGAGGAAGTTTATACGTTCAAATAAATATTTAATCGTTTAGAAAGGATTAAATAGTAAGATATGATTAAAAACGTAGGAGGTAGATTTATAATTCATAAATCAATTTCAATAAATGTGTGTATGACACCGTTAGAACTTTAAACAAATCAATTTCAGATTAATTATTACACTGGTATCGACGAAACAACGATCTCTTTGTCATTGCCGAACTGTACGGAGACATGTCCGTTACAAACGTTATTGGACTCCGTTTTCGAGTCGATACCGCGGAAACCGCATGCGTTGTGCGGCTGGACCGTTGAGAATTCAACGGAAGCGGAAGACGCCACTACGTTGACTCCGGGGAAATCGTCGAGTCGCGGTGGATCCGCTTTGTGCAATAGTGAGCGTTTGATACGTAACTTAATGTTACTGTACTTAGCAACTTGGTATTTAAAGTAGTTATGCTAATTAGTACAAAAGCAGCTATGAGAGCAGCGGCGAATGTAGAACTTTAAAATCAAGATATTGACAGCGGTCAAACATGAAACTCCTATATCTGCTTATTCTACGCTATATGGGATAACTTTAATTCACAAATCATTATGATAAAAAAAACTACGTATATATTTTTAACTAAATGATTTGTGCGCTAAAAGTGTCGCGTTTCGCTCGAAATTGCGAGTTCAACACGTGAATTGAGGACAGCAATTCCTTGGCAGCAAATTGTATAAAGTCTTCCGTAGACGCTACTGTCAAGTCTTCCAATACGATACGCCATCGCTCCTCCACGTCGTTCACATTCAATTTCGCGTGTCGGAGTTTTTCGTCGATGTAGCGCGTCTTCCAAAGATCCGCGACTTGAGAAATCGAGATTTCGGCGGCTTTTCCATCGTTTGGTACGATCGCGCGATACTTTCGCAAAGCGATATTCAACGCGTAAAACACGAAATGCAGCTGATTAACTGTGCCACGTATGTCCCGCCGAATCTCCGTTTCCTGGCTTAGCATGGACCAAAACGACTTCAACCTCGCTATCAAATGATCGATTGTTGCGACGCATACTGACACAGAGTTGCACAGCTCCAGGATTATCTGTACGCGATATACCTGAGATAGATATGCCTAAGAAAAAGAGAGTATTACTTATTGTAAAATTATATATTTTTTTAAAACATGTCGCGATACGCGTATAAAAATATTTATTACTTATGTAACGTAATATTTATAAGTAGAAGACAAATATATAATGTGTATATAGATGTCGCAAAAATATTATTAAAAAAGAAAAAAAAACATAAAAAAATTAAAAATCCTTACATACTAATATATTTAAAATACTAATACATATATTTACACTGAGAAAATATTTTTGCAATTATTAAGAAATTTCACACAAATAAAAAAATATATATTTTTATATATAGGAAAATACATTCAGGTAAGTGTTACTTGTTTCACAAGTAAATATTTCATAAGTATATAACTGCAAATTTACCATAAAAAAGAGAGAAAGGAAAGAAGAGTTCATTATGAATATTAAATTTACTCAAAATATTCTAAATTCTGGCAAGTTTAGTATTTTAATGAAAAATATTAAATTAAAACAAAACTTCGATTTGCTTACTACATGGAACCAACTTCTTCTGATAAAATTTTATATTTTTGTAAGAGAATATAAATTCTTCTTTTGAATACATATGATAATGAGCTTTGTTCAAATTTGTGATGAATATATGTCAAGATCATTATAAAAAAATATTTTTTGTTGAAGATAATCATCTCTTAAGAGGAGGAAAGTAGCCTGAATAATCGTTTTCTCAGCAATAGAATGACATTTCTCTGTATGTAGTTTTGAAGAAAAAAGGAATTGCTTATTCAACTTATATGAGAGAATTTCGACTAAAATAAATATGTTATTTTAGTACCTGTCGAAATTTTTTTATTTTTTAAACAATTCTTTTCTCACTCTTTTGTATATTTTCAAGTATAACGTACCTTGTTCGATCGCATACATGTTGCGATCTTATCCAGAGTTTCAGTCACCATCGTTATGATCGGTTTCCTACATATGTCGGGCTTTCCTTCTAATCTAAGAGCATCAGACATATTCAATACTGCGTTCACGGCTTTTCCTATCAGATTATTCTTCCAACGTCTATATGTCGCGTATTCTTCTGCCATTTTCTCGTCGCTGACAGTCGTGAGAATTACTCTGACCGATTCGAGAATAATATATTCCATAACGTAATCTTGGTTGAAGTCCAACCACTTGCGCAGACAACTACGTTTCTTTACAGAAGGTTGCTCTTTATACTTAATACAGAGTGTTTCCATTCTATTACACATTACTTCGATTGAATTCATAGCTGTTTCCTTCTTCTTGGATGATCGCAAGTTATAACAATGTCTAGTATTGTTATGCGATACGCCCTTATTGGCAGCAGGCTTCGTCGTTTCATCAACATGGCAATGATGTATTTCAGTGCCGTACGCGCTATCGCACCGCGAATTACGTACATTACTCACTGGCGTATTAGATTTGTTGAGATCGTCAAATTTAATCTTGAATGAGCTCCTATCATTATTGTAAACATCCGTACGCGATCGTGAGTGATTTCCAGTTTGGAAATTGTCGAAATCTTGCAGCTTATTTAGTTTCGAGTCGATACTGCCTAGAGATAGATTGTCTAGAGGAGTTATATTCAAATTCTTGGAACTGTAGTTGAATGTTGGCGAAGATATACTGTGCGGCGTCGGTTGGGTTATCACGTTAGGTGTTATGAAAGCTTCGTCGAAAAAAGAACGCAACTGAAAGAAATTATTCGTTTCATCAGATTGCTTTGGTGTCGACGAGGTAAGTTTATGTTGCTCGTTTTGATCAGTAGTTTGCGTGCAAGATGCCTTCCAGGGGAAAAGGGGATCTGCGAAGTCGTTGCCGGGAACATTTGCAGTATCAACCATGTTTCTCGTAACTTCTTCGTTCGCTCTTTCGGCATAGTCCCACGTAGGCGGGGTCAAATACTCGGTAATTTTATCGAGTTTAAAGTTGTACATTTGAAACTCGGCCAAGCTGTCAAAAGTCTCATTTGCATCGAAATTTGAATTGAATGACAACTTTTTGTCCATTGCTAGAATTCCAGAATCGGATTCCATGATATAACTATCCCATTTGTTTTGCACCGAAGAAACAGGCGATTTGTTTATGTTGTTCATCGAGCCGAAGCTTAGAACGTCGATTTCTGCTTCTTTCGAGGTGGAGAGTGATCTAATCAAACCTCCAGGCGGAGAATTGCACGGAAGATCGGTTACATTTCGTGGAGTTAACATCAATATGTCCTGAGTGTCGATCACTTTGGATGTCGATGGCTTCTCAATGTTTAAACATTTTAAGTGTTTCGTACTTTGTTGTTCATTCCTACCTTCATTTTCGGTATGATTATCTTGTGTGCTCCATTGGCTGTTGTATATTTGTTGCAGTCGTTTGGTCGACAACTGAGAGACGGTGATTGATTTCAGGTAAACGATCGCTTGAACGATATCTATGTCGAATTCGTATTCTGTAAGACCGTTTTGTGAGACTCGCCTGCAAGATGATTGAGACACTTTCGGTGGAATATTCAAAGAATGTTCACAACGTTCATTGACACATGTGTCGTCATTGCCGCATTTATTCGTATCTGCTTGGCCGAACGTGGAGTTTTTCTTCAGGCATGCGGATGTTTTTACCTTGCCTTTCGTACGCAGCAGCGAGGGCTCTAAAAGAGAAGTGATCCCCAAATAGACAAAGACGCTGAACATAGCATGCAAACATTTAATGTATACTTCGTGATGCTGTTGTAAACAGCGTATTCATGTTTAAAATATATTGTTTTAAAAAAATATCTTTCATTACGCCGTATCTCGAATCAAAACATTCACTTCTAATTACTACAATGATCTCGGATTAATTGTGTTCTCGTGCCGACCTAATAAATGTGATGTCCGTCTAATAAATATTAGTTAATTTAAAAAATTTTTTTTTCTCAGTGTACTAGCGTTACACTTTTCAATTTTCAATTCAGTCATTATTTAGTCAATATTGTAAAATATGTCTATCTGTCGTTTCACTTCTAATATGAGAAGTATAATGGTGCATGGAGAAAATTTTATGGTAAAAATTGCTAGGGAATAGCACACTAATTACATATTTACTTATACTAATATATTTTCAAGTAAGAAAATATACATCCTAACAAGATAGCCAAACCTGCACGAATAGATTTCGAGCAGAGCTTGCTATCAACTTTTGATGGCAAATAGATAACAAATTTGATACAGGATCTGTTATATCAAATCTTGCTGCCAAATTGCCGCTAGATATGCGGCAGAGCTTGTTGGATAATTGCTGCAGATTTGCAGCAAAAACCGCGCAGAGCTTGTAGCAATTTGACGGCAGATTAGCAGCAGAAACCGCGCAGACTTTGCTGCGCTGCAAGCTTTGCGCGATTTTTGCTGCAAATTTGGCACCAATTGTCCGACAGCAAGATCTGTCACCAAAACCGTCACCTAATGTAGACACAGATGGCTATGGTTTTGCTGTGGGTTTTTGATCAAATTTGCTGCCAATCTGCGTGCAGTTTGCGCTCAATTTGCTTACTGGGAACACAGATGTCCAAGGAACGTCCAGAGTACGTTCTGAGGATAAATGTTTCTTCGTTCTCAGAATATCCCTGGGCCGTTCTCAGGTGTGATTTTGTGCTGTCTGAGCATTTTCTTAAATATTAGCTTTTTTATGAAATTGTTTATTTCATGAAATATTTGAATAAAAGAATTTAGATTAAATAAAAATATATTATTAATACCTATCCAATAAATATTTTTGCCCAGATTTTTCTTGGTATATTAACACTCTATTACTAGAAACATACTAAAATTGAAAAGAATTTATATATAAAAAAATAATATTTCCTTCGTACAGACGAGTTTTTTTATTTCCAGCAATTTTTGTTCTTGAAAATTAGAATAACATGGAATGTTGAGAAAATGATTGAATCATAGGCTGCGTTTCGATATTCTCTGTCAGTATTAAAAATCTACACATATACGTAACATGAACTACAAATCTTCTCTTTAGTATTGACAGTAATCGGAATGCAACCATAATCGCGAAAAGCGAGTCTTTATAATTCGTTTTCTCGTCCTCTGACGACATCTTGATTTTTTGTTCTACATGAGACTTACCCGCGTTGTTCGAATTTTGAGCACCATCGTCTAACTCCATTTGTTGCACGGCCACGAAAAATTGTTGCCTCTCCCAATCGTCAATCCGATACTCCAAGTTTCGAGATTTCTTTAAGAGCAACAATACAATTGTTTAACTAATGACGCACCCAGCAACATCGTGTGAAATATACCTACCGTTACTTTTTTACGTCGTGACGTAGTGCGTTTTTTCCCCATTTTTCTTGATACACTTGTCGATTTGAATTTCCTGCTGCAACTCTAAATACAATCAAATATCAATATTCGTGATACCCAGCAGATTCCTCTCCTTCTCGTATTTGTCTAAATAACGGACACTGTTGTTTTCTATCAGAGAAAAATAATACAAGTAGCTTCCGCAGAGAACGTCTCCCGCAACAAATGTAAAATTTTTAAATGGCGAGCGAAAGTGCCGCCAACTAGAGATCCTGGAGTGCACGACAGAACATGAACGCCGTACAGCGGAATAGCGGACAATTAATTTCTTGCGAGCGACATCTACGATAAACTTCACGTGCTACTCGTGCGACCGGCAGTGAGCTTTGGTTAGGTTAGATCATAGGTTAGGTGTGATTCGTGCTTGCCAGTCACAAAACTTCTTGTATCTCAATTTATTATCGCTGCTAAGAGATAATAAATCCTCAGACTGAAAATATGGAAGGAATGTCTGCGGCAAGTTTAAGCGACTCTGAGAGGGAGCAGTTGATGATCAATCTGAAGCAGCAAATAGCTGTCGCCAATACCCAGGAACTGCTCGTGGTATTGTTACACAACATAATTTGCTCGCATCTCAATTGACTGAACGTTACAGGTTTTTATGTATATTTGTAGAAAATGACGGAGAAGTGTTTCAAAAAGTGCATATTCAAGCCGGGCACGTCGTTGGATAGCACGGAACAGGTGAATCCCTTTCTCTAAACGTGGCCTCAATCTTAACCCTTTACTAGTCGCATTTTAGAAAAAATTACAATTAATCGCGATGTATTTTTCGCATATAAATTCAATGCAAACTGAGCAAACTGATAATCTCTGGCAGTGTTCAGCAGAGCAAGCTATTTTACAAGTGTTACAAAATTTGTAGGTCTGATTGGTATATATTCTTAATTTTGACTGAATATAATAGCATATACCAATCAAACTCACAAATTTTACAACAAAGCAGTTTTTGCCTTGCTGGATGTAAGCCTTTGTCGTGTTTCAATATGTCTTATGCGAAATGATTTATTTCCAGAAATGCTTAGCAATGTGCATGGACCGTTACATGGACTCTTTCAATCTTGTTTCGAGAGCATACGGTGAGCGAATTCAGAGAGAACGCAATAGGATGTAAATATAGGAAATTGGGACAAGCATACTGTTACCTGTTAATCATAGTATAATTTGTACATGATCAAAAGGGTAATATAGTATTTTGTACATATGCATTTTGTTTTACAACAAAAGCAACAGGGGTATATTATCATTTCCTAGAATAAAAAAAAATATTTACACTTTACCATTTGACAATTTTAATACAGTACATTGTAAAAAAATTATTGTACAATTGTATTATACATGTATATGTCTATACCTTTAAATTTATACATACCACTGTGTGTATATACATATATGCATATATACAATTGTATATGATTAAATTGTAATATTTCACCTGCCATTTATCTGCATTTGAAAATGCAGAAGACTATCATTTATGTAGCAAAACAACATATACATGGTTGTTAATATTGCAAACTATTGAAATGATATCGACATGATATCATTCATCACTATAGGGTAATGGAATTAACTGTACACTAGGATGCAAGATAATAAAAGAACATAGACAACGAGTGCAAAAGAGAAAAATCTTTATAAAATAAATAACATATACATGAATACATATTATTACATCATACTTGAAAATCATAAATAAGTAACATAGGTGTTTTTTTTTTATTGTTGTAAAACCCACAATTCCACAGTACTTTTATTTGCATTCTTTATAATTATTTCATACACACTAAAAGGCACGGTATAGCTACCAATGTTTCAACGTGGTTACAAAATAATTATCTGCGATCGTGAATACCGAAGGAATACCGTATATAAAGCGGGTAGTAATACTTTGTTCGTGAGACTTCAAACTGTAGATTATTATGAGTAGCTATGACTATGGCTATGTGATGGTTACCTATGTTGCGAAAGTATCGAGGTTGTCACTCCATGAAATGTGCATTAAAAACCGCTGTTATATATACATACATTTTTCACAATAAAATATTATTTAATTTTAGTGTGTGTTATTTGCGTCAGATATTCTCTTCCTGCGTAAACAAAAGAGCCACGTCAAGCGTCAATGTATAAGACAAAAGTAAAATACGAGACAAATTAATTTACGTTTCGAACAGTATCTTCCGAGAGTGATCATAGATTTTACGTGTATCTTCTAGGTATGTCTATGTCGCAAACATAATGCGAAGAAGTTGCAAAGCAGGCTATTCAACAGCCCGCGATAAACAGAAAAAGATACACAAGCGACTCTAAATCGCCCCCGTTTCTCGACGTTTTCAACAATTTCGAACGGCGTTTCTAAAATCGCTTGAATAGAAACTACACGCGTATTTAATGTATGCGTACGCTGCAATTAATCTCGGTTTAACACGGACTTCCTGTTGCTCTGAAAATTCGACTACACGGGAAAAATGTCTCCGTTGATGTAACTGAATTTTCCGTTGCCTGGAGGAGGATTAGAGACCAGACGGAAGACTCGATTGTAGGAACGGAAAGATTCCTGTAGGAGATTTTTATTTAGTTAATTGTTCTCGGTTATCTCCAGCGAGATTTAGGCCCGTATTAATAGTCATTACTTGAAACGTGTCCCACGTGAAATACTCAGATATGAATTTAGAGTTAGATTTAAATTTTCTACTTGAATCACTTAATATACGTGACACTACATTTGTAATCGCGACTCAGCTGAAAAATTCACGTCTAACTCTAAATTCAAATCTGCATATCTCACTGGAGACAAGTCTCAAGTAATAACCATTAATACAGGTTCTAGACTCGTTTTAATAGTCATTAGTTGAAACTTCATATGAGATACTTAGATTTGTGCTCAGAGTTGGACCCAAGTTTTTCAGTCGAATCATACATTTATATCTATAATCGTGATTTGGAAAACTTATCTAATTCTGAATTCAAATCCAAGTATCCTATTTGGTTGAGACGAGTTCCAAGCGATAACTATTAATAGGGGCTTAAAGCAGCCGAATGAATGTTCAGACGAGTGCTTTCGGTCACAGCAACAGAGATAGACACGTTTCGTCTGGTCCCTATCCAGTCGCACGAACTGAGAGTTCTTTCCCGTGTATCTAGAAAAAGGAAAGAAAGGAAAGATCCGCAGCTGTTTTTAAATTAAGATTAAGACGCACCTTAAATTATCCCTTTACAACCTACGATGAGAGAAATACTTATCCCATTAATCTGTGCCTGCTAATGGTAACAATGCAACGAAAAAGTTACGACTACCTTAGTAACAATGGAATGTGTATGCTATCCTCTAGACTCTATAGAGCGTAGGAATGTTCAATGCAGTCCTGAATCCCGTTGTTTATAAAACGTTATGCGCACTGTATCGATAATAAATGTAACCACGCTGATTGGCCAGGAACATACCTGTTTCATTTTCTTTTAATGTATATCTCGGGACAAACGGCGCGCGGTCCGAACTAAGCGATTCCATTACTACGTATGCACACACATACATACACACACGTAATATTGGTATCAAAATAAGTCATTTGTCTCGCAACATTTGCAGCGTCGATCGTGAGTTCGCGAATTCGTGAGAGTGTGTGTGCGATGGAACGATTAATAATTAAATGCAGCGTTGGAGAAGTAGAGTATGTAGTACAAAATGCCGCGGTCTCTGTTTGAGCATAGAAAGTAGATGTTGCTTTTGTTCTTTTGTTGACTGTTTCCCACCGTCCAGCATTCGATAAATCGCCGCGAACGTACCGGGAGACGCGAGCTCTGGATATTACCTAGTGACGGAATTTCTTTGTTCGAACCGTAGTTTCTAATACCGGTAATATTACAACGTAGTGTCTCTCTCTACCCGTTTGCTGAAAATTCTTTTGTAAAGATGGTTGGCTATACAGTTCTCTTGTTCTTTTTACAAAAGGATTTTGATTTGTCAAGCGTCTAGTTGATCCACCTTGAGTTGTACTTGAGTTATTGCATCTTATACGGGGCACAAAATATTCACATTATTTTAAAACGTTTCCCTTTTCTTCTTCTTCATCTTTTTTTCTCCAATCGCGAAAGTTGGATTACCCAAAAATTAATATCTTAGTCTACACAGCTTTCACACTAATCATAATTTCCTGCGAATCATGGATGCAAGAAAATATATAAGCACCTAATCTTTTTTTTTTCATAGACAACGTTAACTCTCATAAATAACTTTAGCTTCAAACACTTAGCACCATTATGTTCGAAAAAATAATTTGATGGATTTTTTAGGCAATCCATTTCTAGACGGACGATTTCCTGATATTATTACAATATCATATCAGTAACTTTGTGTAAATGAGGTAATGGACAATGTTCAGTCATAAAATTAAGAACAGAGATATTTCAATAAACACAATAGAACGCTAATAGATCTTCTACAAAAAAAAAGGAAGAGAAATGTGTGTAATCAAGTCACTAACAAGCAGTATCTCGTTAATGTGACACCTCTCTAATATTTAAATTATCGTAACATTGGTGTAATCTTTACGTTTGTAAGAGTAATAATACTAAGCATACTTTTTTACATAATAACGTAGAAGGTATGTAGCCTGTCTGAGGTTGAATAAAATAAAAATTCGATTCAATCGTTATTTCAGTTCAAATATCATTCGATAATGACGTTTTCGTCGAGATATTGATGAAAGTTTTGAGAATACTGTACATTTTGCAATTGAACAATAGCGATTCGACATGCGATTTGTTCATCATTCAGTTTTTGTTATTACAAATATTGTAATGAACGACTAAGGGAAGTACCCTTTGAATGAGTCATGAAAGTAAATATTCCACAAGTACATTCCTTTACCTTAAAACTCGCGAAGCAACAGCAGATATGACTAACCATATTGCTTTCTTTAATTGTGTAATATTTCAGAATACATGTAAAGAGGATTTACGACACGTAGTCAACTGTCCCGACTCGCGATGACTTTTTACTGTTAAATCGAGGTTGTATGAACGTTTACTCGAGCGTACGTGTCCTTATTAACGTGACCTTCGATCACCTCGGTGTGTTGCTTATTTTTACAAACTGTAGAAAAATATCGCCTATTGTTGAAATATGCATTCAAACATTTACCTTCTACGTTTCTTTTTCTTATTTTGTTTCTTTTTTTTTCTCATTTTGCAGCGCAACTTATAAGTATTGAGCCACAACTGGCAGTGCCTTTATCAGAAACCATGCGAGTTCGATGCCGCGAGTTCCTGAATTCTTCACGGTATAGTTATAGCATACAGACATACGCAAGACACATTTTAGCGCGAACAAGATATCGATTTCGCCGAGGATTATATGAGAAACAACCCCTTAGAGCTCTTACAGATAGGATCTGCGTATCAGTGTGTGTGTGTGTGTATGAGAGACACGATTAAAAATTACATCTCTTCTATATAATCCGCGGTAATACCCGTCGTAAAGTTTGATATATTCTTATCCGTATTCATATCTTCGAGCTAAAATATAACGATTCTATATGTATACAATACAATTACGTATATAACTGATACGGGAGAAAAATATGTGCAATTGCAAGTAGTAACAGTGCCGCAGTCTCGCGTTAATTTAAAGTCGGCTTACTTACACAGGAGGTACTACTCAAGATTTCGTCCATCTCCTCGATCTCTTCGCTCAGATCCTCGGTACGGGCACTTTGAGTTTTCTCCTCCTTCTTCGTTCGTGGGTTCGGGGAGCTGTCTATCTTGTCCGGCTCCTTGGAAGGACTCTGCTCATTCGCGCTACCTGACGCAGATGACACGAAGTCTTCTTCGTAATTATCTATGCCGTCTGTAGCTGTAAAGATTTTATTTTAGACTTTTACCTTTCAAGGCTCGCTTTAACGCTCTTGCAAAATTTGCCAATGCGAGTGAAATATTATAAAGATTTGCGTAGACTTTATTATCAGGGTTAAGAGTTCATGCGTGCATCATGTTACTCTTATCTACATATAGACAACATAAACTAAGTTTGAGATGTCATGTATGTATACAATGAATAATCTATAGACGTCGTTTAAAGAACGTATGGCTTGTCCAAAAATTAACCAAGTTTAATATTTTTATTTAATCTTTAGAATTCTTCTGTAAATTTCTGAACATTGTTTCCTCGACAAGTTAGTCCACAGAATTCTCTTACATTCTTATCTTTAGAGTAAATCTCTCATATAATGAAATAAAAATTTCATGTAATTTGTTATCCATCTCAAAATATCACTTTCATAATTACTTAAAACAGATATGATAACTGTTTTATAATTATTCTTTTTTGTATATATTCTACTATTCACAGTATTTTAATTCACAGTATTCTATATAGTTTACATTGTCTACATGAAAAAATACTGTAACAATACGTAAATAATCAACAAAAGTAAAATAATTAATAGATGTAATTTTGAAATCTACGACTGATAATCCTGATTATTATTATTAAAATATATTTCCTATTATGAAACTATATATATATATATATATATGTGTGTGTGTGTGTGTGTGTGTGTGTGTGTGTGTGTAAAAATATTCTTACACAACACTCACCAAGCCCGATATCCATCAACTCCTTCAGATCGTTGATGTTGGCTTTTTTGCCGTTCAATGGCGGTAAATCGCCGAATATAGAACCAGCCTTCTGATTGATGGCCGGCAGATCTTCTAAAAAAGACTCGGCCTTATGCATTGTACTAACATTCTTCCGCTCACCGTCGACAATGATCTCGTCGAAAAATATAGTCTTCCCGAAGTTACCTCCTGCATTGACCGGCTTCTTATGTTGCGTGTGTACATTATTGCCTAGGCTTAGCTCCAAACTATTTATACTGTTTTGCTTAGTTATATCTTTCTTTTGATTTGTTTGCGTGTCGATTACTATAGAATCGTCGAACTTAATTAGGGACTCGGATTTGTTTAACGGACTCGTTTGATTGGACGTAGTGACTGTAGTGTCGTTCTCTCGCGCCGCGACATTCGTCGTCGTCGTCGTACATGTAGAAGTTTTATCAAAATTCACATTATTGTTCCTATTACTTTCAATTCCGTCATTGTCCGTTGCGTTCTCCCTGAGAGCGGACTGTTGCTTATCACAATCCGACATGTTCGTCACAACGTCGCTGGTCGCTGGATCTTTGCATTTCTTGTCCGTTATTGTCACGTTTATTGGAACTTTCGGGCTCTGCTCGGAGACGCTCTCCAGCTTCTCGGAAGAGTCATTGTCGTTGGATGACGATACGGATTCATTGTGTATTATCTTGGGCACGGATACCTCAAATGTCGTGTTCACAAAGTTCGTCGAGGTTTCATCGGTCTCATCGTGTCTGTTACTACTTTTGTTACTCTGCAAAAAAAAATGTTTTATAAAACAAAATACCCATCAAACTGCGCCAATTTGTACTATGAATTGCAAAACAATTTAGACACAATGAAGTTAAAAGCTCACTAAACTGTCCAAATTAGTAGTCATTACTGGTGAACTTGCTCAGTAATTATTAATTATTATTAGTATTATTTAGCATTCTTAATTATATTATTGCATAAGTTCGATAATAACTCTCATTTTTGCTGTACTATAGATTTGTACTGTAGATTCCAAATTATATAAAATCTATGTGCAGATTGTTTGTGTTATTTACATGATGTATACACTGTCATTTTCACATAAGCAATATAAATTATACAGATTATCGTAATTATAAATTATACTAAAATATACGAAAAAAAAGAATAATTAAATTATGAGATAGTTGCTTCATCTGTTTTTGGGCATTAATTACAAATGTGATTTAAAATTAATAATAAATTGCATAAAATTTTTACCTCATTATATAAAAAATTGGTAGACAACTCTAAAGGTAAGAGTATAACCAGAGGATTCTAACTTGTTTAACAATGTTCACAAATTTATATCAAGATTGTAAAAGTTGAATGTAGGTATCAACTTTTCTTAATAAATTTCTGAGCAAGCTTTTGTTTTTTTAGCAGCTACAAATTACTCATTGTCTACATACGTGACATCTTATATATAGTTTACATTGTCTACATGTAGACATAGAATATCATAATTTCTATGTAAAACACCTAACCCTGCAATTCTGACAGTTGCTCCCAATTTCATCTAAACTGTTTTGCAGCCCGCTGTGCTTAAATCAATACCTTTTGTGTACTATTAAAGGCACCATTGATGCTGTTCTTGAGAATCTCACCAAGTAATGGCTCGGTTGAATCAATACCTAATTCCTCACACAACTTATTTCTTCCTACATAATTGTATTCTTTCCCAAAGTATGTCTCAGGATCATATACAGATATAGTACAGTCGAGACCAAAGTATTCTAGGAACTCTCTAACCAAGCAAAACAATAATTTCCCTTCTGAATTGGACAGGTACTGCTTGACAGTTTTGTTGAGAAGTGGCTCAGGATTCTGAAATATTTATTTTAGTATTACAAAACCATACTACAGTCTTGCACAGATCTAAGCGCGCTGTAGAATTTTACACGTAGAACATTTTTGCACACAGTTCACAACCTCTTCTTACAAAGTTGTCTTGATCATGCAACTTTGTAAAAAAAATGTGATGCTACTTTACTTCTTTGTAAAATAAGTATGATGCATGATAAAGAATACGCCTTACTTATATGAAGAAGACAAGATAAACCGCGTTAATTTGACATGCATGAGAAGTCGTTACGGCCGGTCGAGCACAAAGAATTGTAAACAAGAGGCTTTCTTTTTGCACTTTATTGCGGCACGCTTGAGTGACTTGAACGACCTACCATTACCGAATCCTGTTCCTCGAGAGCCAGGAACACGCTCGCCCTGAGTTCCGCCTGTGAACATCAGACAAAAGAGCTCTGAGAAAGCGGCGAGAGCGAACGCCCGCGAGTTTATATTGTATCCCTTTTTTCAACCGCTCCCCCCGAGTCCAAGCACGTCTAACCTACGAGGGTAGAGGCCCGCATCGTTTTTTTTTTTTTCGCGACATATCCCCATGACGCACCCGTACTTTAGCGAGGACGCCGTTGTTCTCCAGAGTTTGCACCACCAGGTCCCGTAGTTCCGTGTCCTCCTCCATTGAGATGTTCCCGTCTATCATGATTACAAATAAAAAAATGCGCCAGCGTACACTCAAGAGATGTAAATATTTACGCTTTCCATCGCGTGTCTTCTTTTCGCGGATGCGACACCATATAGGGACTTTCCCGCCCGTGACCTAGAGATTTTCGTCCCGTGAGGTCATCGCGCTTACCATCGATTCGAAAAATAGTCGGTAAGATCGCGCGAACGTTTAACTTTGAGAAACTCAGTCCAATTATACGATATGGGAGTTCCGAAAAATCAATTACTCACGCTTGTATATGTATTATGGCTCTTGATTCTTTTGATGGAATTAGGTGATACTCAAAGAGGTCGTGATTGAAAATGTCATAGGATCATGGCTTGAAAAACTTCACAATTCAATGCATTTCAATCTTTACTTTTTGTACTATATAAACATTTCTGTAATACAAAAAATAAAAATTCGAGTCGACAGTTTGTCAATTTCTACAGTCATTCAGGCATATCCATGTAAAAAAGTACAAACTAATATATATACACACTTATTAATATCTAACAATAATAAATACAAATATATATATTTGTCGAATACTGTTTGAAATATTGTTTGCTCATTCCAGAGTCTTGTCAAAATCGAAGTTCGAATAGCAATAAAATTCGTTTGCCAGATTGTTTTTGTGGCCTGGCATAAAATTACATTTCTTGACATTTAACAGTCTTTCTGCTAATTCTGCCATAATAGCTCCTACATGGAAGACAACACATTTACTTTTACATTAATATTTAACAAATAGATAGGCAGTGATGAAAATTATTTTGAAAATATAATAGAAATGTAATTTTACACATACCTGTGCATAGCACAATCTTTTCCTTTGTCAGAAACTTTATTGTCACTGCTGTTTTCGTCAGACACTCATCTGACAGAAACGGTGGATCTGCTATAACCAGATCAAACTCACTGGACATGTCTCTGGGCACATCTAAGGGGAACTTGTAATCATATTGTATGAAATCTGCACCGAATACCTTGAAACGACTGTCATATTCAAATAGCTTAACTGTAATTAAGAATCAATTATACATGTACTGCAAGAAACAAGATCACTCAGTCAATGTCTGCACATTGCAACTTGAGTATTATACAAATATTATAGACATACTTTGTCTTTCACCAGATTCTTTCTTCAGCTTACTGTAAAGTGTCGGGCAGGAGATCAGAGCGATTTTTCCATTGGCTGGTGTCGAATTTAAGGCACCTCTGACGAATGCTTCTGTCGTCTTATCGTCGTACCAAAATTGGCTCAATTGCTGCGACATTAATTACGGATCAATTTCTTCACAATATGCGAAATTTTATCATATATAAATGTCATATTGATATTATTGCTGACTCACCCAATCCTCGTCGAAGAGAGTATTCGATATCTGATCTTCCTTGGATATACGTTTCAAAAAAATCTCTCGTTCTTCCCTTTCTTTCAGAAATTCCTGCAGTGCAGTAAGCGTTGTCGAGCTCAAACGTGGCTGATCGTCATCGCTATCGCTCATCGTTTACAAATAATAATTCAACTAGCGTATGCAAATTGTATCTATGTGCGTAGAAGAGAGAGAGAGAGAGAGAGAACTTTAGATAAAAATAATCGTAGAAAATCGATCGACGAATCGATCAATCTCGGAAGATTCGAAACCACGGGCGATCGAAATTACCGCCACTGCTAATCGCTCTAGTGAATTAATTAGTCGTTAATTACGTGGGTGCCTTATCGATACGCGCTGCATCTCGTGGTTATCAAGGTCAACGAAAATCAACCGGTATTTACATATCAAGTTTTTTGTCTATGGATCAGCTGTTTCTTAGCTACACTTTCTGCACCTTCTTACGACAAGCTCCTTTCTTTTTCTGTTTTAAAATACAGATATATATATATATATATATATATATATATATATATATATATATATATATATATATATATATATATATATATATATATATATATATATATATATATATATATATATATATATATATATATATATATATATATATATATATATATATATATATATATATATATATATATATATATATATATATATATATATATATATATATATATATATATATATATATATATATATATATATATATATATATATATATATATATATATATATATATATATATTTAAGATCGAAGTTTTAAGTATCCCGTATACCATTTTAGTTCCATTCTTTTTAATTACTTTTTTTCTTTCTTACATATTTGTGAAACACAATATTTGTGGATCAGCTTGGGTAGACATGAGTGTAAAATATATTGTTTAAACGAGGACTCTGTTACGTGTAGGTGTCAATGGAGAATCTAGTAACTACGAACGGTTGTCGATCCGTCTACTTTTGAATTTAAACGCGCTCCGGACCAATTCGAATTGTGTGATATGGTGATAGTTCAATACCGGCCTATGGTTGGTCTTCATAGGCCGATATTCATAGGCTTGATTTACATCGTGTACTTGATACGCGTACTAAATAGTAACTTTCTATTAGACAATCTTAATATCGACGATATATATAAACAACTATATTAAGCTGGTATAATACTCATCAATAAAACGTATTGTATTGATAGAATGCGTCGCTGTTGATATGCATTGTCGATATTAAGATTATCTAATAGAAAGTTACTATGTAGTATGCGTATCAAGTGCACGATGTAAACCAGGCCATCTGTTCTAATTGGTGCATTTCTGAAGACGGACCAATCAAAATAGAGTATTTCCATCCAGCAAGCAATCCAGCACGAAACAAGCATCGTGTGTCACTGGCTTTAGAATGGGTGCGTTCAGAAGACACAACTGTTGCACAACGGTTGAATAATTAGTCAACGTAATTGGTCTAAAGTTAGGGATCTAACAGTAAGGACCAATAATCACTGACCGCTCACTGATCAGCTATGTTTTCTGAACGCAGCCAATGATACAAATTTATTTTTTTTTTACTCTAAACTATTGCACCAGTTCAGCAGTGCAGCTAAAAAGAACAGACCTTTTATAGAAACGCGTCATTTTTTACTAGAAAATCAAAAATTACACACTCTGATCTATTCTAGAATTTATCCATTGATCCATACGGCAAAACATGGTCCATGTGGCGTCAGAGTGAAGTAAATTTTACATATATTTTGTTGTATATAAGAGAAAGAAAATGTCAAACGAAAATGAAAGCAACGCGAGACTGTTTCAAACGATCGGTTTGAGCGAGCAGAAGGCTAAGGAAACTGTAAAAAACGCAAATGTCTCCAAAAATCTTAAACTGGCTATAAACGAGGTTAGTAACCTGTTCCAATGATTATACCGGTGAATTAATTGGTCTGTGATATATGATGTGCTGCATACAAAATTATGCATTCTCCTTTAAATTTGTTTTTATTGTTACTATTAATTGATTTTAACGCGAAATTTGAGTTGCGAATTTTGCCATGTTGCATCATAATTTTTTACCTCATACATGTATCTTGTATGTATCTTGTGTAGTTAAAATAATTTTTTTATATGAAAAGTATTAAACAATGATTATACCTTGTTAATGCATCTATTATTGATTGATATAATGATTAAAAGATTGTCTATGATATAACAAATATTTGGTATTTAATATTTGCAGGCTGCTAAAGATGGGCCTATCTCGCAGGATGTTGGTGTTTTGTTGTATCATTTAGCTTCCAAGATTAAGAACCAGATTGCAAATAAGATACCATTTATTACTAATTATGTTATTGAAAAGAAATTAGATACTATACAGAGGATAGATGCTGCTTTGTCTTATCTGCTAGCTAATATAAATAATGACATTAATATAACAAATTTTGAAGAATCTTGTGGTATAGGAGTGATAGTTTTACCTGAACAAATAGAGGAAGAAGTGGAAAAAGTCATAAAAGCATACAAAAATGAGATATTAGAAAAAAGGTAAGTGAAATTTGAATTATTTAAAGGTTGATTTCTATAATATATATTGACATATTTTGTTATTTGATATACATTTAAGAAAACAATGTTTATTTATATATTTATATATATATATATATATATATATATATATATATATATATATATAAAAATATAAGAAGTAATATATTTCTTCATAATACTAAAATTTATGAACTCAATAAAATATATGAACTCAAAAATAGATACCGTTTCAATTCTGGTCCATTGATGCAGCAAGTACGTAACATTCTAAAATGGGCAGATGGTAAAGCAGTGAAGAATGAATTTGACATCCAAATTCTTGATTTATTGGGCCCGAAAACTGATGCTGATCTTACACCAGCATCTAAACAGGTAAAACAGCCAAAGGACAAGCAAACAAAAGCAAAGAAATCTGAAGCTGTGAAAGAAGGTAAAATATAGATAGTGTTGTTTGCATTGAAGAAACATCTTGCATATGTGTCAGTAATAACAGATTGACAAACTTTCAGAACAAAAGGAGACATTAAATGGTGAAAAAGTAGAAGTACAGACAATAAGTGAACTTATGAAAAACAAGGTTAACTTCCACAAGCCTGGAGAAAATTACCAAACTGAGGGATACATTGTAACGCCAAATACGCATTATTTGCTACAAGAACATCTGAAAGTTACCGGTGGCAAAGTGAGAACCAGATTTCCACCCGAGCCCAATGGCATTTTGCATATTGGCCATGCAAAAGCAATTAATATCAATTTTGGGTATGTGTTTGGTTTTATGAGCTGTAAGATAAATGCTCCAGTAATTGAACATGTCCTAATGATTGAAACAATAATATGTTTGTATTGAATATCTCTAAAAAAAGTTTCAAATTTTGTTAAAAAATATATATATTTAATATATTAAAAATATATATTTTTTTAAATCAATTTTTAATATTATTTAATAGGCATTCAATCATTGAGTCTGTAATATTCAGCAATTAGAGCATGATATATTTTTCAGTTCAATTACTGATACTGCTTATTTAATATATATCGTTAAAATTATAATTAATATTTATTGATTATATATATTTTATTTCCTATTATTTTTCGATCACTGAGACAAACAAAAGTCTCACATTAGTAATGTAAGTCAAATGTTAGTTTTATTAATAATTCCGTTAATTATTTATTAATAAAAATGTAAAACTGCTTGTGCTTATTAGTTCCCATTATGGTTTGGCACTATTGGTTCAGTTATTGGGACATTTACTTTATATGTTGAATACGTACGTATATCTTGAAAATGGGTGAATTTCATAGATACGCCGCTGCTCACGACGGCATATGTTATTTGCGGTACGACGATACGAATCCTGAGAAAGAAGAGGAGAAGTTTTTCGTTGGAATACGAGATATGGTGGAGTGGCTCGGCTACAAACCCGCTAAGATCACCCACTCGTCGGATTACTTTCAGCAACTGTTCGAGTGGGCTGTAATATTGATAAAGAAAGGTTTGGCCTACGTCTGTCATCAGTCTAGCGAGGATATAAAAGGTTTCAATCCTCCGCCGAGTCCTTGGCGCGACAGGCCAATTGAAGAAAGCTTGCAGCTATTCAATGTAATAAAACATACTCGTATTCGAACGTATTTCATTGTTTAAGATCATTAATCATATATTTCTTTTATTGTATAAAAATAGGATATGAAGGATGGTTTATTGGAAGAAGGAGAGGCGACATTGCGTATGAAAGTAACTCTGGAAGAAGGCAAGCAGGATCCCGTCGCGTACCGAATAAAGTACTCGCCTCATCACCGAACCGGCGACCAATGGTGCATCTATCCGACTTACGATTACACCCATTGTTTGTGCGACAGTATCGAGAACGTGACTCATTCTCTCTGCACAAAAGAATTTCAGTCGCGAAGGTCGTCTTATTACTGGCTCTGCAACGCTTTAGATATCTACTGCCCCGTTCAGTGGGAGTACGGTCGAATGAATGTTAATTATACCGTAGTTTCTAAGAGGAAAATCGCCAAGTTGATACAAGAGGGAATCGTTTCCGACTGGGACGATCCTAGGTAAGACATAGCAGTGTGTTATATTCGTTTAATATTTTAAAATGATCGCGCATTATCATGATCTTAACATGAAAATGATATCGTTTTTCTTCTTGTAGATTGTTCACATTGACCGCCTTGCGTAGACGTGGTTTTCCACCAGAAGCTATAAATAATTTCTGCGCTCAAATGGGCGTAACCGGTGCACAGGCAACTGTCGATCCAGCGGCGTTGGAAGCGGCCGTCAGAGATGTTCTGAATCTCACCGCTATTAGATCCATGGTCGTTCTGGAACCTATTAAATTGACCATCAAAAATTTCCCTCAAGAGAAATCCATCAAGCTAACTGTACCGGATTTCCCCAACGAGCCGGAGAAGGGACATCACGAAATCACGTTTGACGAGATCGTGTACATAGAGGCTTCGGACTTTAAGGAGGTGCGCGACATTTACATTCACTTTGCTGTTTCCTGTGTGTGAGGAAAATTTTTAATTGTATGTATACACATTTACAGATTGAAGAAAAAGGATTTAGACGTCTAACACCAAAACAGCCAGTGGGTTTGAAGCACGCGGGTGTTGTGTTGACGTTTCAAAGTATCGAGAAAGATGCTAGTGGTACTATTACGAATATAACTGTTAAGCAGGAGCTTGTATCGGAAAGTAATAAACCAAAGGCATTTATACACTGGGTATCTCATCCAGCGTTGGCATCCGTTCGGCTGTATGAGCGTTTGTGAGTAATATAATTTCTCAGATATCAGCTAGACAAGAATACTGTGAAATTTTTCCATTGACAGTGTGGTAAAGATACGTTCAACTTTTTTTTAGATTTAAACACAAAAATCCGGAAGACACGAACGAAGTTCCGAACGGATTTTTAAGTGACATCAACCCAGTCAGTAAGAAGGAAGTTGTAGCGTACATGGACGCGAGTTTGGCTGGCACGGCGAAAGTGTACGATAAATTTCAGTTTGAGCGTATAGGCTTTTTCTCTGTAGACCCTGACACCAAACCCGGCAAGGTAAGGCCTGAGATTATTGAAAGAGGTTATTGAGAAAATATTGCGCATACAGCATTAACCTTTGTTTTATTCCAGCTTGTTTTTAATCGCACTGTAACATTGAAGGAAGATGCAGGGAAAGTATAAGTGCTTTTAAACAAAATCATCATGGATACAAATGTGCCACTTTTGCTTTAATTTTTGTAAAATGTGAGATGATAATGTGTTCAATAATATGAGTTTTTTTAGACATATTTAATAAATTATTGAATCATTAAGTTGTATACGGCATGGGCCAGTAACTGTTAGCGCTTTGAATATTTTCTAAATAATGGGAATACTAAGAGAAAACTAGCGAATTCGGTAGCTTGCACTAGTGCGCACTAAGTGGGCGTTAAGGCTTGTTTACAGTACATTTTTATATTTAAGATCGTATCTTAAGTACATATTTAAAAACATTTTAGCTAATAAAATGATTCGTACGGATGTTATACATATCATATTATGGTTAAAAATATTTGAGAATTTATTTAAGACAATCTTTAAATATAATAACATATTATGAACAAGCTTAGTGCACACTCAGTCCGCACTAAGCTTGTTCAAGCAACTGAATTCGCTATAAGATTATATAAAAAGAAATCATTACAATGTGATAAAAACTAAAGAATAATCTAATAGTTATAGATCCACTCTGTGTATTGCTTACTAAGAGATAACTGAATCTAGTTAAATATAATTTAAGACTTCTGATCAGTCACCCGAGAACTTCCCGTTGACGGTGACGATATAATTATAAACGGCAAAATGAACTATTATATATATGTGCATATTGTATGTGATACAATGTTGGAAGTGTGGAAATACTCCGGATACTGTGCTTATTGTAATATTTAATGCGTATAAGTAGGTGTTCGGTCATATTTAACATCAAGTCATAGCTTCTCTGTCAAAACGAAGTGATTTGTCACATTTATTTTGCGATTATTTAATAGTTATTTGGGTAAAAGAAGAATATCCGCGAAGCATTTCACAAGTGTGTAAAACAGAGATTGCAGATGTCATTTTAATGATATATCTTTATTTAACTAATTCGCAGGAATTTTGGGCATGGTTTCCCTCGCTTTTGACATCATCAATCTAATATGGCTGCGGTGACTGATCAAGGGCTTTATTCTCGAAAAATATTGCATATAATATTTCGATGAAAAGTTATAGTTCATGTTACATATACCATAGCTTTTCATCAAAATTGTGATATTTTTCAAAGCCCTAGGAGCCTTAATACGATATTTGATTTGTTCTCTTCAGCTGCACTGCTGTAACAAGTTAAAGTGAGATAAAATATATTTGTTTCAATGCAGCAGTGCAGCTGAAAAGAATAGATCTATTATTTCTGTCTCCTTTTTATACGAATTTTATATGCATTTTGATCTTGCAACAATTCCCATTGTCTCTTCGAACAACAATATATAAATCTGTTACTTCCAATTGTGTGGCGTGATTTTCTATCTATTAATTCATCATACAAGACTCGTAAGTGGGAACCATATATTTGATATTTATAAACGCATCCTCGCCACCGTATCTTTCCAATATCTCCAGCGTTTCTTGTATAAGGTCTGCCGCGTTTTCTCCTCTTTGCTGAGAATAATCGATACCCTCTCCGAGATTCACTAGAATCGTGAGTTGCTTCATTTCTCTGTATTATCATAATTGCAGAAAACATGTAATCAGCGTGCTTACCATTCTTGTCTTTAAGTAAATTGGGGATAGGTAGGATTTGCCGGAAATACGGGACCAGAGCTTCACCGATACAGTCGGCCGAACGTACTAAACGTTGGAGAGCTTTCATGGTAGTGCAGATTATTTCGGGCATTCTTGTGTTTAAAGCGTCTAACGAAGATATTTTCATTGTAGTATAAATGCTTTTATATATATATATATATATATATCAGATTGGTGTGAAAGATTCGTCATCTTTCTATTAAATTCTTATAAATATTTTTTAGATATTAAAAAGAATATTGAAAGTCTATATTAAATGTCTAAAAGAAAAATCAAATCGATATCGTTCATTATATACATATACATATACATATATATATATATATATATATATATATATATATATATATATATATATATATATATATATGTGTGTGTGTGTGTGTAAAAATGATTATTCTTTCGAAATTAGGTAATTTTTTTCTTTATTTTGTTCGACAGATCTTTTACACCAACGTGATATGCGTGTGAAATGTCTCGTTTAATTTTGAAACGTACTCTTAATAGGAATGATCAGTTGAGGAATAACTGGCAAGATCTTAGGCCCACCGTGTTCCAGCATGTCTGATATTCCTTGTTCTGCTAGAAACTTGTACGGTTGCTCGGTTTCCGTTAATCCATCGAAGAACATCGGTAGATAATGATGAAAGTCCAAGTCCTCTATGTCTACTTTCCAATTGATTTTTTGATCGTAGCCGTCGTTTTCCAGAGAGATTGGCAACACGCCGCGTTTGTAGAACTTTCGGAAGGTCGACGGTTTAGGTGGACGAGGTTTGTATGGTCTGCATCGCGGGGGTTTTGCAACGATCGTGTTCTCCTGAGAGTCAGAATAGATACTGTGTGACTTTTAACGAGCATTTAAACGCCCTCGTATTTCCCTACCGTCATATTCCGCTTAATGCGTCACCTGCAGAGCCTGAATGGTGAAGGCAGGAACAACCCGTGGTTTTCTCTTTTTGTATCGCGATATATCTTTTCGAATCTCCGTCCAAAATTCTTTCTCGCTCACCATCTCGACGCTTCTTTTCCCTTCCGATAATTTCAGCTCGATGAGTCACACGTTAAACATTTTCTTTGAGTATTACGAGGAATTATACCGATTATGCGGGAACGCGAGGCAGACTTAGATCAAACAGTACTTCGTTTCCAAGCAACCAAATGTTCAATTGGCATTTGGTTATGCTATAGCATAAACACTTCATTTTTATTCCATTTAAGAATTGTGTACACATAGAAAATAAATCATATCATCATAAAAATAATTATACAATAAGTCTATAATGTACATTGATTTTACATAGCAAAAACATCTTCCTGATTAGAATCAACTTATTCCAAATCCAACATTTGAGTTGATTCTAATCAAGAAGATGATCAACGCAGTTAACTTTTTGCGACAGCTTTTGTCTTCTTATGGAACTCTGGGTCATCAAATATGAGTTTCTTCTTCTGCGGCTCATCCTTATCTGCCGTGTTTAATTATTAAGGAAAATAATGCACATATTAAGCAGAGTTATAATATTAAGTATCCAATTATAGTTTTTTCCATTCCTTTAAATTAAATAATAATAATGAATTTCCCTCCCTTGCATCATAAATATAATATAAAAAGGATATTTATGAAGTAGTGTGAAGAGTCCTGTGCCCAGTGGTATTGGAATACCCATTATAATGGATTCCGATACACCGCAGATGGTATCGGTTTGTCCATAATAGGCTGCATCAAATAGGTGATCCGCCGTTTTCTCGAACTGCAACGAATAATACGTTTGAGAGAAGCGTTTTCCATCATTTTTAATAAAGTAAAGTTCAATCGAAAAAGCATCATATCGTATTGAGGCGAAAACATAAGACGCACAAATATAAATAACTTAACGAAAAACGGAGAAACTCACCGATGCCAGATTCAAAACCGACTCTTTCATCTTCGCCAAGCCTTGTCTGGTAATGCCAAGCACTTCTCCCCTGCTTGTCATTAAGTCTGCGACGAGCATTAGATGTCGACGATCGATACTTATTGCGTGATTCTCCATCACCGATTCGATCTCTGTCATGATGGTCGCTCTCGCCGCTTCTATTCCGAGTGCCTTGAAAACCTAACGTAACATTATCGATGAATACGTTATCTATATCTCATCTAAGATTTGTATGGTATCTTTCGGCTTACCTCTATAGTATTGTTCGACTTTGTCTTATTACCAAGAATGCCGGTCGTTGCCATAACTTCTTTCAAGTTATCACCTTCAATTAATAATTTGTATTTCGTTTTACCACCGATATCCATATAGTTGTCTATAACTACTCGAACAACCGATGGCAAACCCTACAAAATGAGTAATATAAATGTTATAAATATTTTTATATAACTATACATTTATGTAATCTTTATATAAATATATAATATATATATTTATGATACACACACACATATATAAGTCATATATATAGCGTTTTTATAATTATATAAATATTCTTAATGTTTTTTAACGAGATATAATTTATATAATTATATATATTAAATTTATATAATTATATACAATACATACGCGCGCGCGCATACGCACACATATTCTTCTTATTGCTGATACGTATCTTGCTGCGTTATTAATGTTACAATTTTACCTTTATTATAACATTTGGAAGGCTCTCCTTCAGTTGCGTAAGTCCATAGTTCGATTTCTGTTTATTCGGTTGAACAGTAATGAGACTATCACTTCTCACCGACACATGTTTCGCGGTAAGATGTAACTTTGAACTGCAGATCCTAAAAGATTACAAATCCTTTATTACTGCCCAGTAATTATGTTTACGTGGGAAACGATCTACCTGTTTAAACTGTTAATTGCGTTAATCTTTAAAAATACTTACGAATAATGTATAGAGTTAACGTCTACTTCCAACTTCAACGATTTGATCAAATCGAGATTTAATTTTATTAGAAGGAAGTGATCGTCTTGCAGACATACTTCGTCGATGTACTCTATCACGTCTCGCAAGATTGTCTTCTCGATTCGTCCCTTCACCCGCATAGCGATTTCTGAACTTGTATCATCCATCTGCAGAAAACGAAAGGAAGATCAGTTGGCGTCTAAGAGATCTGATTTTTTAGCTAAACTAGGTTACACTTCTTAGAGGAAAATAAATATATAATCTAGTACTTTGAAGGAAAAAAAGATGAAATTCAGCTAAAAAAGGACAAGTCTATGATTTTCATATATAATTGTTTCCAGAACAGTTTGAAACTTTTTCAATGAATTTTAAGATGCATCCGATGTTCATTGAGAGAGCCTATTTTATGAGAGTCATGGAAAAACAAATTCTTCTGTTGAACACTGACTGCACCCCGAAGTATGTCGAAGAAAATTTCGCTCAAGATATCTACTCACCAACGGTGCTGTTATAACAGGAGTGCTAATCTTCGCACTGGCGTTGATGATTTCCTTGATACGTGGCACACCCTGTGTGATGTTCATAGATGCCACTCCGGCAAAGTGAAAAGTCTTAAGAGTCATTTGAGTGCCCGGCTCTCCAATACTCTGCGCAGCGAGCGCACCCACGGCAGTACCCGGTTCTACCCGCGCTCTTATGTATTTCTCGTTGCACGTGCGAATAAATTCCTTCAGCTGTGAGATAGTGAGACGCGCGAGTTGCTGTATTACCGGTGTAGGTAACTGTATGTTTTCTCGATACTTCTGTATTTTGTCTGCTTCTGACTCTAAAAAGACCCTGAAAAGAGAAGAAAAGTCGTTAGATTCTCGAAATCCGTGAAATTGGCTGGAATTCAATGCACATGTCGATCTTATACTTACATTAAATCTTTTTTCAGTTTCTCTTCGACATTTTCGAACTGTTCCGATTCCGAAAACCACTTACACGTGATATCAGTTACAACAATGCTATTCAGAGGTTTTTCTTCCTTGTGTAACGACTTTGCTTTCACATGATCCAATACTCTTTGATAATCCATCGGCTGATCCTTATCTGTGGACACGTAACAATGTATGCTAGCTCGTTTACAAAATGTACAGCGAAGCCTACGTACCTTCCATATATGTCGGATCCAACCCATCTCCACCGTATTCGAGTTGCACGATGTCGCCCATTGAATTGCGTACCGTCATGTCGTAATGAAGACACAAATCTTCCAGACTTTTGACCAATCTTCTCTGCATGTATCCGGTCTCTGCAGTTTTCACGGCGGTGTCCACAAGACCTTCCCTACCGCCCGTGGTATGGAAGAAGAATTCTGGACCGACCATTCCGGAGTAAAATGAATTTCCTACAAAACCTTTAGCACCTGGTGTTTTCAAGCCTCTGTTATAATGAGGTAACGAGCGAGTGCCGAACCCGTTCGGCACTCTTTTCCCACTGACAGCTTGTTGACCTACGCAAGCTAATGGGTACGATATTATTAGATATATTAGAATCATTGAGACTGTTATATTTTCTTATTATTAATCATTAAATAAAATAAAGCATGTAAGAGCCAAAATAGGATAACAGTTATGGAAAAGTTATTTAATAGTTATATAAATTAAAAAATTTAGATTTGTATAATTCTTGATAATTATTAAATAATTCTTACAATCGCCATATCCTGTATTAGTTCTGATAGGTTTCATTATTATTTAATTATTGTACATCTGTCCTATTATATAATTATATTTATTATAATTATACTTATTATTATTACCCTTATATTTAACATACCAATCATCTGGGAGATGTTAATGAAACTTCCTTTACTTCCACAAACTGCCATAATCAGAGGGCTGTTGCCGGGCGGGAGCTCCTTCAAGCACACTTTACCACCGTGATCACGAATCTCCGAAAGTTCCTTCAGTACCTTCACTTCCATCGTTTCTTCTTCTGTGCATCCAGGCTGGCAGACTAGACGACCTTCATCCATTTGTCGAATATATTCAGTGCACTTGGTATAACTAAACAAACACAATTTTGATAAGACGTGCGTCTCGAGCAACCTGCAGAATATGTAACACTCTTACCCAACGTTCAACAATTCTTCCATAGCTTGAAGTAGTCGTTGACCAGGTGTCACGTCGGTTATACCGATGGAGAATCCTCCATTCGTCAGATAACAGGTTGACAGCTTTGCCAAACGCCACATAGCTAAAGTTGCAACATTCTCGCCCCAATCACACAGCAAAATGTAAAATATATTCTGCTTTGTTCCCGAGCCCAGTGTAGCTTTGTCCATTGAACCCGCTAACAACTCGGAATTGCGAATGAGGACAACTGTGGATTTGTTTATTTATTTTAATTAATGATAAAGTATTATTATTGTTAATTAAAATAACAAAAGTTCTGTGATATCTAATCAAATTACAAAAGTGGAAGACCTATAAGAGACAACGCAAGGTGAAATTGCATAAAAATTAGATCGTTCAACGAGTGTAACGACCGTGACAAACAAAACCGTAGAGCCACCGCGATGTTACTCACAGGAATCATTGACGCACATTTCATAGCCGGTGGTGTATGCCTTGCCCTTTGTCCTTAGATTCGCTTTGATAGGACACTCCTTATTCGGTCGTATTACCAGACTGAATATCTGTTTGCCTGTCCACACTTTAACCGGTTTTAGAATCGCAGGTGGAGGCAAAGTTACAGATTTGACATCGTCAGAACCAGCAATCAAGGAATTGGCTAATAAAATAGCCTGGGCCTCGGTGAGAAACGTGTCTTTTCTCGTTAAGAGGTAACTGCTAGTGATGAAGTCTTGCGTTGCCGCAATCAATAACTCGCCATTGCGAGGTGTGACCAAATTGGATTTGTTCTACAGCATGAAATGTTTTTAATGTTTTTTTTTCAGGATATAACTTATACTGCTTCAAATATTACTTAATTAACTGCTACGATAGTCACCGATGATCGATATTATAATATTGCCGCGTCTCAATTGCCAATTCATGTATAAAACTTAATCAACTGCGTATAACAAACTGAATACATAGCCGATGAAGGGAGCCAATGAAATGAGCTAACGAATATATGTATCGCAAATTGTATCTTTGTATTGTATCTCTGAGCGTTATCTAGGAAGAGGAGAGTGTCGTGAGCGTGGAGCGTCAGGTAGCTCAGTGGTTTAGAGCAGTCGTCCGGCAAACGAAAGACCCGGGTTCGAGTCCCGGCCTAGCAGGACCGCGCTCTCGATATTTTTATCTTTCTGGAACGAAAAAGATACGCAGATCTCGAACGCACGGCGTCCCACCGCCACCTAGTATGCCCTCCTCCTTCTATGGTATTTTTGATGATTCAAAGTTGAGTTGAGCATTAAGATGATCAGTGGAAATCAACGTAACAATCAATATGTTGATGAGAACAACTTACCCCCATCAATACCAACGCTTCCGCCCGCGCTTCTTCGGTCTGAGGTAAATGAAGATTCATTTCGTCGCCGTCGAAATCCGCATTGAAGGGATTGCAGACGCACTCGTTGAATCGGAATGTTCGATGATTCAATACTTTAACCTTATGTGCCAGTATGCTCAACTTGTGTAGCGACGGTTGCCGATTGAACAATACTATGTCGTTGTCTCTCAGATGCCTCTCGACGATATCGCCACACTGTACAAAGCGAAAAATATAATAGACTTACTCGATAAAATATATAAAATTTAAAGTCACTGAACTCTCTTTTATCGATAAAAGTGCCTTTAAATATACTTATAAGTTAATTAGAAGGCTTACATTAACTTATAAGTTAATTACAAGTCACATTTAGAGAGGTATTTTTACCGATAAAAGATATTTCAGAATAAGGATTAAAGTATTTAGATAGTTCGACAAAATTGACAATGCATTACCTCTAAATCTCGTAAGATTCTGTTCCGATCACTATATGGAAGGTACATTCTTCTCTGTGTTTTCTGATGTAACACAAAGTTCGCTCCGGGATGTACGTTCGCACCATTGCGAATTAATTGGCGCATCAATTCTATGTTTGCCGGATTGACTTTTTCGGGATATGTCAAGAGCTTCGCAACGTATAGAGGTACGCCGACCTTGCATAAATAATGATAAATTTGAGTCAGTCTGTTTATATGTAGGATGCAATTTTATTGAATTTCTTGCGATGCTTACTTGCTCTATTTTAAGATTTGGATCGGGCGAGATAACCGTACGACCAGAGAAGTCAACACGTTTTCCCGATAAGTTACCTCGAAAACGACCTTGTTTCCCTTTCAATCTCTGCACCAAACCTCTGCCTGATTTTTTAGGCTGGAGGTAAAGAGCAGAATGTATATCATAAATATATAATTGAAAAAATAAACAGAAGTATAAAATATATTTTCAAATGTTCATTAAAAAAATTCATTAAAACGAAATAAATTTCACTCACCTGCATATTAAGAGGTATTCCGGACATTTCGCTATTAATATACAATGCACAATGCAATTGAAGAAATTCCCAGTTCTCGTGATACATTTGCGGTCTGGTGCCACACGACACGTGGTTCTGGATAACATTATTGATGAGCATAATCTCCGACAATTTCATTGTTAAAGGATCTTCATTGGTACCAGCTTTTAGATCGGACGAGACACTTGGTCTGATACAAATCGGTGGCACAGGAATCCTAGTCAATAGCAAATCTTGCGGTAATGAACGTTCACGATTCATCAGTAACAATGGGATATCATCCATTGGAATTCTTTCAAGTAGTACCCGAACCTTAAATAATATTTTTCAGTTAAGATTGCATGCGACGTTCTAATATGCTATTTTGAAAAGCTTCTCGAGTTTAAAATAAAGATTAATTCCATAATTCAAGATAATATTTAAATCTTACCTGTAATGGATTTAAAGTATAAACCAAGCCAGTGCTTTGCAATATATTCTTCACTTCTTTGTTATTTTCAACTGCATAACGGTAATAGCTTTTCAATTTTTCTTCAATGATACTTTCCTGTTTCTTTTTGCTTTTATATTGTTCATGCACTATTTTCAACATTCCAGCTTTCTTAACAATACCATTGACTTGCTGGCAGTTATAACATTTTGTTGTTTTCTTGGCTTTTTCTAAGATCTGTTTACGCAATGCTTTCCGTGCCAAATATCCCAAATTTGGATTCAAACATTTGTCCAAGTATTTCTTCTTATCTTCTGGCGGTAACATGACATGAGCACAATTCTGTAAAATTCATGTTAAATGAATTTAGGAATTTACTTAGGAATCTTAGTTAGGTCGTATTCAATATTACCTTGCAAATTGTTTGTAAAATAGTAATGAGAGGCCTAAAGTAACCAACATGAAAGACTGGTAGTTCTAAATCTACATAACCAAAATGTCCCGCGCAGTCATTTAGTTTGCCTTCACATGTGCTGCATTTTTTGGCATTGGAACATGTTCCCTATAAACAGAAGCATCAATTTCAAAAACTTTTCTTTACTTTCCTCAAATAGAAAAAAATTAAAACTTTTAAATACCAAACGATCATCGAGTACACCATAAGGAACTGGAGTATGATTGATATCCTGATTATACAAATTTTTAGCAACGACATGTAGATGAGCCTGCTGTGCTATTTTGTGCCGACTATCCACTCCAAAGGATACTTGGGAACTAAATAAAGATAATACATATGTTTGAAAACATAGAATATTATTTTAGAATATATATTAACTACTTTAACAATGGATTTAGCATCTAAAAAATCTAATAAAAGAAATTTCATGTATATATTTTTCCTTTTTTGTCTTGTTTGCAAGTTATAATGACTTTTGTATTATAATAATTCTGTCGACAAATTGAATTATCTAATCTATTTGATCCTACCAAATCTATTTGATCCTACCTTCTCTATTTACAAACAGTGTATAATATCTTATGCATAATACTATTTCACAGTATTAGAATAAATTGTTGGTTTGTTTCCTTCAACCAGAGCATTTAAAAATGAAGTCTAATAAACTATGTTATTAAACTATTCTAATAAACTGACTATGTATACTATTTTACCCTAATAAACTATATAACTATGTATAAAACTATGTTTAGATGAATTTTTTTACTTTTAAGTGCTAATTTTTTACATGTTACAGGACATTCTGTACAGAAAGCACATCAGTAATTTGTGTTGTAAGTTATATTACAAAAATAATATTGTAGTCTCATAAAAATGTAACAATCTATCTTTAAATATATTGTGGAGTGCAAACAGAGGTACTTATTCAGTTTACACACATCACCTCCGATTTTAACGAAAAAATAATCAATGCGTTTTTTAGAGGCAAACAACTTTTCTATTTGGAAAAATCGTTGCTCTCTACTGCGAAGTGAGAAATTAATCGACAAAGTTGATTAATATGAAGGTTAGGAAAACTAACATATCGACGATATACAGCAACTTAGATGTTCCCCATGAACAAACTGGGACGCTCGTAAACGTCAGTTCGGTGGCTCCTGCTATCCCAGCAGCATGGGAGGTGATATTATTTTAAAAAAAGTTATAAAACTTTTTAAGTTATAAAACTTTTTATATCGTCGGTATAAGTTTTCCTAACTTTAACATTGATCAACTTTGTCAATTAATTTCTCACTTCGTGGGACAAAGCGACGTTTATTTCTGCGAGATTGTTATTCCACATGCAAAAATGCGTCGATTAGGTATATTTTGATATTGATATTGGACGTATATTTCATTGATATTGGAGGTAATGTATATAACCCCTAACCTTAATAGTGATCAACTATCAATTAATATCTCGTTTCGCAACAGAGAGCGGCGATTTTTCCAAATAGAAAAGTTATTTGCCTTTAAAAAACGCGTCTATTGAGTATTTTTCGTAAAAATCGAAGGTGATATGTGTAAACTGAATAATTACTGATTTACTTACATTCTCCGAGTTACATCAGTCTCTTTGTATTGCTCCTTCATATTTTTCTCTTTCTCTCTTTTTTTAGTTGCAGACCTTTAAGATTTTGCTTAATAGCGTCCTCTTCTGAAATGTATTATTTCACTATTTTTACATATAAAATAAATTAGTTAATAAGTTTAAAAACCTCTTCGCAGATTCTCCCAATAAAAGCGTGCTTACTTTCTCTCTCTCTCTTTATGTGGTTGCAGACTTCACATAGTAGCCTTTCACCACGTGCTTACTCAAAACTGTACTCCAATTTCTCATCCGACGGATGACCGATAGGTGACTGAGAGAATGGGCGGAGCTTGTACGGGATACCATAGAGTGCGTACGGGGAGAACTTACTATTGGCTTGGTTTAAGCTGGCTACACACACTTTTCGTAAAGGCCTTTACACATAGAAAAATTTTAACCATAACCGTAAGGTCGTAAGAAAACTGACCAATCAGAGTTGATTATTCTCCTTGCGTTCGAAGAATAATCGACTGTGATTGGTCAGTTTTCTTATGCTTACGTACGCTTAAAATTTTTCTACGTGCAAAGGTCTTTACAGTAACCGTAAAACGTAACGTAAGAATTGACCAATTACGATCGAGTATTAAGTATAAATATGACGACCTTAAGCCCATTCTACAATTACGTAAGCGTAGTCGTGAACTTAAGAGTCAACCAATCCGAATGTTTTATTCACTGATTGCTTTACTCTGATTGGTTGTCGTAATCACTTACAACTACTTACATCCACGTTCACGCAATTGTAGAAGGGGCTTTACGTTTCGACGATTCTCAACATGATTGGTCAATTCTTACGTTAGGTCTTACGGTTACTGTTACGAAAAGTAACAGTAAGTAAATTGTGTGGCCAGCTTTACATCGGTTACTTTCCAACAAGAGATACAAACATCATTCTATCTTTGCTCCACATTTAATGAGTAACAAAGGGTGGTTTTCAGTTACGTACACTGTGTTACACAAAACCAGTTTATTGGTTGCATATTATCTTACAAGATATTTTAGATAATATGTGACCAATAAACTGGTTTTGTGTACGTGTGTGTCAAGATGTGTTAAGCAATTGGAAAGCACCCAAGGATAGAATGATACTTGTGTCGACTTGTGTCTCTTGTTGGAAAGCAACTTATAGCATCGTGCACTTATAGCGAATTCGGTTGCTTGCACTATTGCGTATTCAATGCGCACTAAGGCTTGTTCATAGTATGTTATTATATTTAAAAATTGTCTTAAATAAATTTTCAAATATTTTTAACGTGGTCTATATTAAGATTATCTAATAGAATAGAATAGATGATCGATATTAAGATTATCTAATAGAAAGTTACTATTTAATACGCGTATCAAGTGCACGATATAAACCAAGCCAGTAACTTTCTATAATCTTAATATCGACAATGCATATTAACGGCGACACATTCAATCAATACAATACGTTTTGTTGACGAGTATTATATCAGCTTAATATACTGTTGTTTATATATATCGTCAATATTAAGATTATCTAATAGAAAGTTACTATTTAGTACGCGTATCAAATGCACGATATAAACCAAGTCAATAGAAAGTTACTATTTAGTACGCGTATCAAGTGCAGGATGTAAATCAGCCATGATGTCAATCTATGAATACCGGCCATAGACATCTGTGGCGTGCTCTTCGTTTGCTCGAAATAGGGCTGTTTTATTGGCTGCTTGGCCATCTTGAGATAATCCGCAACCAATACACTGGTTTTAGTGTCAGGCTTAAGTCATACGAATGAAAAGCACTTTTAAATACCTTCTAACCTCATTCGTCGTCGTGGACATACACGGACAGACATGACGTTGTGTCAGCGCTCCGAATCTCGACGATGATGTCGCCCCGAGAATTTTGAAAACATCATCGCGAACTTGTCGTTCACCTCTTTTCCGCGCGTTCCAATGGAAGTCAACAGTAAGATGCTGACGCGGGCGAGTCAGCAGAACACCAGTCTCTGCCGTGTCTGTTTGATTGCGGATCACAACAATCGATGCATCTTCCGCGAGAACTGGGACGACCCGGATAGCACGAGCGCCTCCGAATTGTCGACGAAGCTGCGACTGTGCGGCGGCGTGGAGGTTTGTCTGCTTCGTCGCTCAATGCTCGAATGCCTCGGCTTTGCTTCTACTGCATGGGTTATGACACGATTTCTGTGTGCACCCAGGTGCTGGAGGACGACGGCTTGCCCACCAGCATCTGCCTTGAGTGTGTGACGAAAGTCAACGTCGCCTACGAATTGAGGGAGCAGTGTCAGAAGGCTGACATGAAGCTCAGGAAGCTCTACGGCAAAGCCTCAAGGAAGAGCATTGCTGGTAACTGCATTTCTACAAAGGTACTCGCAATTCTGCCACAGGATATCAATTTCTGCATTATTTACGCCATGTTTGTCATGCCTGTTTTCTTTTGCAGGACCAGTATTGTCAGACTGAACAGTTTTATATCTCTGATACGATCAAATCGGAAGACAATACAGAACTGAGTGTGGACAATGTAATTAATATAGAGAAGAGTATCTTCACAGAATCAAAGACTGTCATGAGACATGAACAAATCATAGATGCTTTTAATGAAGGCTATTGCGCTGAGGACATATTAGTGGACAATGAGCCAGGTCTAGACTGTGTTAACAAGTTTAAAGAAATAGGGCACGAAAAAGTGGCCAAGAAAGAAACTTACAGAACGAGACGGATGACCATGTTCAAGAGGGTCACATCTATGGAGAATCTGAAAAATCACAAAGAGAGACAGAGAAGATATATTAAGAAGAGTGCAATGAATGTCAAGCGCGATAGTGGCGATCACGAGCATCAGACGAAGATGAGGAGAAATCTCCACAATAGAGTGGACAGAACATCCGAGTTTGATTCATATAAATGTTTGGAATGTGATAGATTTTATTCCAGTAAGAAGTCCCTAGATAGACACACGTTAACTCACAACGACAAAAAGTTCAAATGCGAAAACTGTGATAAGCAATTCTTCTGTCTGGACAAACTGCTCAAGCATGTGGATCTGCACAAAATGAAGGAGAAGCCGCAGCCGGTGCTGTGTCGAATCTGCAACAAGAGCTTTAGAAAGACCGACACCATGGTCAGACATCTAAACGCTCACAAGAGGGCCAATCCCAAGGAGGTGTTTTCCATACTGAAGGAGATACGCGATCGGAGGAAGTTGGAGAATAGCTCGGAGTCCTTGGAAATATGCCAGCCGAACGAGGATAACGAGGAGACTCGGCGGAATGAAAGATCACCGAGCGAGAGCGAGAGCAGCGGCGCGACGAAGACTCTGAGAAGACGCAACGTCCGAGCGGAACAGAGGGACTCGGACGTGTTGAACAGCGACTCCAGCAACGATAATGTCGAGCCCCAAGACGATACGTTGCTGCACCACTGCAAGCATTGCGGCAAACGCTACTCCACCGAGCGATCCCTGCAACGTCACCTGCTGATACACGACGAGAAGAAGTTCGTTTGCAGCGTGTGCAATATGAAGTTCTACCGGCAGGACCGGCTAAAGAGTCACGTGGACCGGTACGGCCATGACGAGACGAAGGCGCGCGCGGAGCCGCAGAGACCGCCGGACGACAAGTCGGCTATCAAGCTCATCAACAGCTGGATCAGGGAGGAGCTGGACTCCGATAATGAGGGCAAGGGTTTCCCGTGCAAGATTTGCGGCAAGTCGTACGACACAAAAAAGTCCCTGTCGAAGCACCAAGCGAACACGCACGCCGGCCAGAACGATTGCTGCGCAAGCTGCGGTGACAGCGTCTGTGGTTGCGCCGAACGCGGCAAGAACGGCAGTCCAGAGAAGAGCGGCAACGAGGCCACCAAGTCGAAGCCGTATACGTGCGAGGAGTGCCACAAATCCTTCGAGAAGGAGATCAAGCTGCAGAGGCATCTGCGAATCCACGAGCGCGCCAAGGAGCAGCAGGACGCGAACTTCAAGCGCTTCCTCTGTCACATCTGCAGCAAGACCTTCCGTCAGAACACCGGCCTGATGTTCCACATGCGCACGCACACCGGCTACAAGCCGCACGTGTGCAAGTACTGCGGCCGTGGCTTTACCTCCAATTCCAACTGCATCAACCACGAGAGAACGCATACCGGCGACCGGCCGTTTGTCTGCCACTTTTGCAGCGCTGCCTTCGCCAAGTCCTGCACCCTCAAGGCCCACATCACCACCCACACCGGCGAGGCGAACTACCACTGCAAGACCTGCGGCAAGTCGTTCCGCCGGCTCAAGTATCTGAAGGAGCACCGGTTCACGCACACCGGCGAGAAGCCGTACGCCTGTAAGATATGCGGCACTGCCTACAGCCACTCCGGCAGTCTGTTCGTGCACGAGAAGAAGTGCAAGGCGCAGTACAGCGGCTACCACCAGCAGCCGGGTGCCGTGGCAGCGGCGCAGAACACGCAGCAGTCCGCGACTGCCGCGTACAACAGTTCCCAGTCTTCGCAGGGTGCCGCGATCGCCGGCATCTCGGCCGCCTCCCCTCCCACGCTCGTCACCAGCCCCATCATCGGCGGCTTGCCGCAGGCCCATCTCAACGTTATCAACAGCACGCTGAGCGCGCAGATAGCCAAGGGTCACGCGGTGGACAACGTGCAGCGCATGAACGCGGTAGTCTCGTCCGGGTTACACGCGCACTCCAACGCCGGCGACATCGCCGAGATGAACTCCACCGTGCGGAACTTTGCCATCATTGGCCAGATGTTCCACTCATAAGGAGCGCGCATGGCAGGCCGAAGAGAGACACACACGAGACTTTTACTGTGATACACGCACCCACACGCACGCATCTTTCTCTGTCTCTTCTTCGAAGCGTCGCGAAATGTTGCTTTCATTCTCCCCGCGATCTTTTTTTTTTTTTTAATCATCTCGTCACGATACGTCTTGTATTATACATTATCGGACAATGTGAGGCAACATGGGTGTATGAGAGGGAAAGAGAGAGATGTATATTTATATTTTACGATTACTTTACATATGTAGGAGAGCAGTTCTAGGACGAATAGCATTTTTACCGGCTGGTCTTTTCAATTGTTTATTATCGCTGTATATATAATCGTGTAATCATACAGATAGCTTATCTGTCAAACAAAGGTGACAACGTTCCGTCAGTAATATGTAACGTTAAAATTCCTGCGCGAACGCGTGTCCGAGGATAATTGACACCTTGACGTGTCACGAGGATCACTTACACTCCTTCGTTTGTCGATACACACTTCGTTTGTACTATACACACGAATATACGTGTGTATAGTATATTTAGCGGCGGACTTGTGAGGTGACTCGTATATACAACTTCATTAAATAAATCAGTTTTGCACCCGTACAACTGGCTCATCTATCCTGATGACTGTGCAGAATTTTGTATCAATTTGAAATTTTAATCAGTCCGATTATGTCAGTTCGAATATATCAACTCGAGATAACACAACGAGTTTTAGCGTCGCATATGTTCAACAAGAATCTATATAATTTTACATATTATATATTATATATATTATATATATTATATATATTATATATATTATATATATTATATATATTATATATATTATATATTATATATATTATTAATTTATATATTTTTTTATATATTAATAGTTATGATTATCTTATTAATTAATTGCTTTGTACATGGAGAAAGTATTGTAAAAATTACAGCAGTTTTTATAATTTTGAGTCTTATATGATTATAATCGAAATTACTATACAGCGTGAGGAAAAAATACCGGGATTCCGAAATACGAGTATATCTCGAAAAATGTAAGTTTTATAAAAAAAACTGTTTCAGATAACAATTGTAGGGTTTAAAAAGATTTATTTACCGATTTTATCAATTTGACTTTAGGTGGCGTCACCAAGGTTTGAATAAGGTCCTCGAATTTTTTAAATGGAATCCCCAATTGCATATTTTTATAATCCTACTTCAGACCTTTTCAAAGCACTATAATTTTATCCATCTTAAGCAAGCTGTTACAAAGTTTATCAAGCTTTTTATGGTAAGATGTTTAGATGATCCACAAGGCAAAATCAGCACGATTCGATCTACTACGTATGCCTGCATGATTCAGCCTATTACGCATTCTCTGGACGTACGAAACCTTCGTTAGCCCGAATGAACTAATGAATCGACGACCTGGCTCGAACCGTTACGATGCTTACTCATCTGCGATATTTTCCACAAGTCCGTATGTTGAATCTAGATATTGTTGTTGTATTCCCTTATAGAAATATCATACTAAGAATCATTGATAATTACTTATTTTCAGTATTAAAAATACTGGATAATAAGTAATTATCAATGATTCTTAGTATGATATTTCTATAAGGGTTAAATACATTTATTTGATGACATGATTTATTTGAACTTATTTTTAATTTTTTGTTACATTAACTATATATTCTTTTATTCGATTTTTATTGTTTAAATTTATTTATTTAATACTATTATGGACTCTTCTACAATAAGCTATAAATCATAAGCTAAGCTAAGTAAGTTGACTAATCACAGATTTTTGAAAATAATCGATTGTGATTGATCAATTTGCTTGCGGCTAATTCATTACAGTTAGTGGATCGCGAATTCGACTCTTTCGGTGTAAACGAAGCCATATAAAGTTTCTAGTTGATATGCGTATCAAACGTTCGGTGTAAACAAGGCCTGTCAGACTATTTTGTTTCAAGGAAGAGGTAGTTTAAGGGTGCATCTAATAAAATGACCGACCAATGAAAGCTCGTAATTCATTGGTGTATGTTTCTGGATACCATAAGATGCCCAAAGTTGGCTCGTTGATCTAGTTACTTTCTCCAGTGCTCAATTGCATCCTATGGGGACGTCGAAGTGGGGATGAACGTGGTAGGGGGTCGTTTAATAGCCGCTCCTTTCGCGGAATAGTCACAATTATTAGCTGATATATCGCTGTGCTGGGATCGGCTTCTCTTGACCGCAGTATATTCGCACGAAAAATCGTAAGTACAACTTTTCTGTTAACGCCTTTTGTTCTGTTAACGCCGGAATCGAAAAGGCGACCCGCCCGGCAGACTGAAACTGCGAATTATCGTGGTAATATGACGTTGCGAGACATCGAGCAAATACGCATTTAGGTTGCCGGCTTAGCTGTCTCAAGGCCATTACACATAGAGAAGTTTCAACTGTAAGGTCGTAAGGAAATTGATCAATCAGAGTCGATTATTCTTCTTGTAGGAATTGACTATGATTGGTCAGCTTTCTTGTGATCTTACGTTTACAGTTAAAATTTTTCTACGTGCAGTGGCCTTCACGTGTGGATTGGTTAATAAAGCTCCTGATCGGTCAGCCGGGAACTTCGCGTTAACGGTGGGGACATGATTGAAAATAACAAAGAATGAATTATTAGGCGAGAAAATAGGTCTATTCGTTTCCGAAGATTTTCTCACTAGTGCAGACTATTGTAACAAGAGAGAATTAGGCCGGTATTCATAGTCGAATCTTATTTTAAGACCGTCTGAAGTAGTCTTAAGATGCGAATACGGCTCTGTGATTAATTACTGACTTAAAACAGCATTTAAGATGATCTTAAATATAAGATTGGACTATAAATACCGGTCTTAGAGTGAAAGAAAGTGTACTTCTCTCTCTCTCTCTCTCTCTCTCTCTCTCTCTCTCTCTCTCTCTCTC